AAAAAAAAAAAAAAAAAAAAGAGAGGAGAATGGAGAAATGGTATTACATACCGTGTAGGAAGTGGTGTTGGGTTTAGTGAGGAGTGTAGCTTGAGTGAAGTTGCAGAGATTGAAGGCATTTTTGTTCCGAAAAATGAAGAGTTTGTAGTGATACTTGTGGTTGAAAACTGAGGAGATTTTAGAATACAAAAACATAGGCAGGCATGTTAGTCAGCTGGTAACCAAATAGAGAATCAAAGACGAAAAAGAAATATGAGGCGCTGTTGAAGTAAACATATACTTACTTATGGAATCTCCCACATGAACAATGGGGTTTTTCCACTCTGAAACACCATCTACCAGCACTGTTGTAGAGTGAGAAGGATGGGGGAATAGAGAGAGGGAAAGGAGGAGAAAAGTAAGCATCAAGGAGGAGGAGATCTGCATGACCTCTTCTTGAACAAGGGAAGAATGATGAAGGACTAGATTAGAAGAATAATGTAGTAGCTTTTATTTTCCCTCCCTTGGTGCTGGACCTCTCAATCTATGGATCATTGAGCAGGAAAACAGAGCATTGAAAAATGTGCTTGATGTTTCTGAGGAAAGCGTTTTGAATGGATGCCAGACATGGGCATATTGGGGATGGTGTGTGTGTGTGTGTGAGAATTTTTTTTTTTAAATCTACAAGAGTAAAATGTGGCATGATTTTGTCTGTGGAAAAATTGACCGCTTTAGTCTTTTAGACTCTTTACTTTAGGTAAAGCATGATACAAAACAAAATAAAATAAAGCAATAGGATATGGGGTTCGGTTCCTCTGCTAAAGAAAAAAAGAAAGATGGTGATTATTATTCTAAAATGATTAGACTGTGATTATCAAGCTGGAGTCCCTATTCCCTATTCTACGAAGATTGGTGGGAGAAGCAAATCTAATTTGCTTTCCTCTATGAAATCTTTCCCTTTGCTTACACTTATAAGGGTTTTCTCTGAATTCTAGCGGTCACAATAGTGTATGATCTGTGTTGTTAGTGTCAAGGTTGAAATAACTGTGCAGATAAAGTGAACTCAAGGAGGCAAATGCAGCCTTACTTCTGTTTTTGGTTTTGTTCAAACTTTTTGTATCTAGAACGGCTTTTGCTTCTAAAGTCGATAAGCTCTTTTAGAAGCAGGGCCACCGTACGAAGCGCTTCTGTTTTGGTCATCGCCACACACAGCACTTAGAAAAGGCAAATATCAATACAGTTTGGTTATTTTTGATTTAGTATGTGAATTGTCAATGTAATTAGTGTAACAATGGCAAACAAAGATTACATAGTCCTGCCTTAAACCAAACATTCAGACATACTGGGTGCAGACGGACACCAACCTATGCAACAGCCTTGCCACAATTTGCAACCTTCGATGTGGGCCAACTGCTAAAACGTTACGGTAATAACAATGAAATGACAAAGATCAAAAGACGAAATAACACTGACAAGTGTACCTAGAAGAGAGCACGAAGCAAAATACAACCAAAGATCATCTGGAACAAGATATATCAAAGGACTTCTTGCATCTGCAACTCAAAAACCCTTTCTTTCTTTTTTTTATTTGATAGATGCAACTCAAAACCTTGATTTGAGGTTAACGTCATGTATTAAAACTTTAAACCTTTGCAACTCAACTCTAAGGAGTAAACTTTTGATGCAACAAACAAAAAATAAAATAATAATTGGACCATTCCAGCATAAAGAGAATTTCCTAAAAGTAATCAAGGACTACATTACTCAAAAGCATTAGGGGGAGGAGGCAGCTAAAAGGTCCTAATTAATATAAAGAGAGCACTACTCACCAATCTAGATTTTCTTAAAGGGCTCCTGTAGTTGTGAAAACATGCATATACACAGAAATTTTTTTGTTGATCTAACAATTCAGCAGCAAGGGGTAACCAAGGCTTGCAGTGACATTTTCAGGAGCTACGCACAATCAACTTACGCATCCTGTCATTCTCTCTTTTGTGCATCCTCTTTCGACTATTCATGATTGGTGGTGCAACTTGCAATCACTTTTAATTTTGGTTATGTTGTCTTAATTGATTACCTACAAACTAAGATAAACTTCACGGTGTTGGTGCCCCACTTTTTGTTACCCCTCATTTTCTCCCGTCAGATTAAGTCTCTCCCCATCAGATACCTCAAAAAAGATCTAAGTCTACCATTAGAAAGAATTATTTCTACTAAGTCTTCGTGGTGGCCTTCGTTGCTCAACAACAGGTACCACTTTTTCCATGAGCTGTGGAAAAAATCAAGAAAACTGACGTTAGTAACTCCCAAGATCCAACTCATTGCCTCTTTCATTTTTGCCATCATAAATAACAGATTGATTAATAATTCAACATAAATCAACCACGCCACTTTTTAAACAAAAAGAACAATATTCTAGCGCATAGAATTGTTATTATTTAAAAGAAAACAAGACTAGATCACATGAAAACTATTCTTTTTACATTTAACCTCTCTGCTTCATTTGCCTTTCTAAGGTCAACGTATTATAGAAGGTTGTCAAAGGTTTGGAGATGATTATATTCTAATCTGTTCTCCAGACTTCTTAGTAAAACCTTGCCATGCAACTATTGAAAAAAATGCTCTAATTGTCAGCAATGTGCCCTCAGGTAGAAAATCCCCTTGTTCTAATTTTAGTCCTCCATAAAAATCTATGCATTAGAGCCTGGGAATTAAAGTCCACAATGAATAAAAGACTTCAACACAACAAAACCTAATCCACAGACTGCTCAATCACCCAACTGCCCAAAAAAATTGGCATTTTGTACAGGGGCATATCATACTTATTCAGCAGAAGAAATCAATGCCAAGACCTACTGTTTCTTTCTTTTTTTAAGAGCAATTTTATTTCTGGTACTTGCACACTTGAGTGCAAAGTTGAGCCCTTATCTAATCTCTATTTTAATCATCTCTCTCAAAATGAAATTAACAGGCAATAGTATTGGGTACACAACAAAAGTTCTTTCTCTAGTCTAATCTCAATCGGAATCATCTTTTCATAACTCAAATTGATTGCAGGAGTGTATAATACAAAAAAAGGATTTATTACCTGCTTAAACCTTTCCTTAGTCCTTTCAACCTGAAAGTAGACAACTTAAATTAGACAAAAGTATATGTAATAAGATCCAAGGTAACACTTATGGTTGTAATGCATACACCAGAGAAGAATGTAAACCAAAAACCAGTACGACTACAGACATAAAATATAAAACAAAAATAAAAGTCACTTAATATGGTCCACACTGACAGCAAGTCATATTCTGAATAAACAATGAATTCACAAGGTATATTGAATCTACACAGTCACAGTTAAGTGACTCTCAAATTCATTCATTTCTTTTTCAAGTTGAATTTTGCAACAGTTAAATTTAGTGCACACAGAAAGCAAAGCAAGTGTTGAATATGCAATGAATTCAGAGGGTATATTGAATCTAAACAAACACAGTTAACAAACTCTCAAATTCATTTATTTACTTTCTTCACCTGCTGGGAATATAGATTCATGGGCATTTAGCAGTAGGATAAGAAGGTATAACAAATATTCAACATGAAACCATGCATGAAAATGGTTTCTTTTCTTCAACTTATATTCCATAATGATCAGTTAATAGAATGACAGAAAAGCAATGTAGCTAGGATTTGCCAAAAAAATTTATTAGGATAACCTTACTCTAACTCAATGAGAAAGAAACATTGAATGGACATGAACATCAAAAAAACAATCAGAAGTCAAATCAGTGAATGGAAAATGGAAGCATGAAAGCAGACATAAAAAGGGAGATATAACGTTCACGATGAATTCAATACTAGAAGGAAAACTGAGAACCATGCTTAACATAATCCAAGATGCATAAGCAGGTCAACTGTCGCATCAAAATTGAACTTTTCTAGAATCTACGCATATCATACACATCCACAATAAAAATATTATGGCAATTAGTAGTACTAAAATCCAATAAATGAAATTAAATAATATGCACTCTTTTGGTTCTTTGCATGCGCCTCTGAAATGGTGCTACGGAATTGGGCAATCTAAATTATGCTATCCATTAAAAATAACCCACCTTATCCCATCAAGAACATAGCTTTAGACAGCTGAACTAGTGAAAGACAACAATATAATTTATACTTCTTTTTCCTCTAGAAACAACATTCAAATCCCCCACCCCCCTTTTTCTGTTAATGCTTCTTCCCATTGTTAATCCTCAATCTCACCCAACATAAGCATGAATAAATCCAAATTTGAAATCAAATGCAATACCTTCTCTTTCAACAGCTGCTCATTCTCCTCCCCCAGTCTCAGAGCCAGTGACTCCAATTCAATTTGGTAAGCCTACAATTTAAATTAAAAACAGAGAAAAGAAAAAAGAGGGAGAACACGATTAACATACCCAGTTACCCACCAATCAGTAAATTCAATCAAACCATTTCCACAACAAGAAGCAGCCACAAAAATTCAATCAATTCACCTGCTTCCTTTCCCTAGACCTGGCAGCCGACTCCCTATTCTTGATCATCCTCCTTTGTCGCTGCTGAGCAGCCTTATCCAGAGGCTCCATCGTAACTCCTCTCCCTCTCTTTCCCCTCCCTCCAACTGTACCACCAATCACCTCTTCTCCATTACCCAACCCAACTATGGACCCCTCCACCTTATCCAGTAGTTGGAAGGCGTTTGGTGTTACCGGATCAAAAGTGTAGACCCCTCCACTTAGCCTCTCCGGCTGCACCTTCGCATCTGCATCATCGTCGTCCACTCCTTCATTCCTCGCAAGAAACTCCTCAAGCGTTATCATCTCGTCCGGCGCCTCCTCCTTCATCGTCACATCTCTCCTCACTCCGGAAACCATCTCCCTCCACATATCATCCACAGTCTTTGCCACATTTCCTTCATTATTATCCACAAAATCCACATTCGGTTCCTGACCGGCTTCCGTATTAGCATTCGGCACCGTAGTCGGAGTATCAATAAGCGTGATGGACGCATCCACAAGCGTCGTCTCAGTGGTCGGCGTCGTACTATAAACATTCCTCAAGATGCCGTCCACTGTCATTTTGGAACTCGAGCTCAACCTGCTGCTGCTATTGTTCCGATCAGATACAGACGCAGGTTTTGTAGAAGAGGAACCCGTAGAAGACCGACGTGAGAGATCCGATTTTCGCGAAGTCGAAGATGCCATAACTTTAGACGACGCCATTTCCGGCGACGGAATCGGAACCTCCCTCTCCCTCTCTCTAGTTAGTTCTCCAGTTTCCCTGTAAAAGCAATAGAAGAACTAAGTACAATTCTGTCTAGGGCTTGGGATTTGGGGATTTTATTTTTGGGGTTTTGGAGTCTGTTATTCTGTTGGGATCTAGGAGACTGCTGAGGAGGCGGAAGAGAGAATGCGCGTGTGGAAGCGCGTGGAGACTCTTCGGAATCCGACTTTTTTGGTGTTCAGTTTCGGAGATTTAAGCCAAACTCGACCTATACTAATAAGAAAGTCTAGATTTGGAGCTCATGCTTAAGTTGTTTTAGTTTTTGTTGTTGATCAACATTAAAGGGGTATATTTTTTTTTATTGGAAAATATTTTAGGAAAAAATTTTTTGTATTATTTTTTTATAATTTTATGTATTATTTAAATGATTAATTTTTAAAATTTTTTTATCTTGTAAGTGTACAATAAATATTTTTTTTATAGTTGATTTTTATTAAAAATATAAAT